CATCTACTGATCATAACCAATCACCATACCAAGTTTGAAGTTCCTAGGCCTTAAGGTTCTTTAGTTATTGCTCGGAAACCGTTTTTGCTTACAAGGTCAATGTGACCTTGACCTTTGACCCCTTGACCCCAAAATCAATAGGGGTCATCTACTGGTCATGACCAATCACCATACCAAGTTTGAAGTTCCTAGGCCTAAGGGTTCTTTAGTTATCACTCGGAAACCATTTGGTCTACGGACCGACGGACCGACAAGTGCAAAGCAATATACCCCCTTTTCTTCGAAATGGGGGCATAAAAATTTCCAAAATTGGATAATAAATGATACGCCAACAATACTATTTGTACTGTAGGTATCAATTTCGCACCCCGAAAAGTTAACGGTTAACTACTCCGAGTTTTCGTCGTATTTAATTTCTTAATCGTCGGTATGGACAGAACATATATATTTTTTAAGATAAAAATATATGATTGCAATTAGGGGCCAATTTTCTCAAAATGTTCCTTTTAATTTTCAAAATCGGATAATAAATGTTAAAGCAGCAAGACTTTTTGTACTGTAAGTATCAATTTCGCACCCCGAAAAGTTAACGGTAAATTACTCCGGGTTTTCGTCGTTTTCAATTTCTTAATCGTCGGTATGGACAGAGAGTATATATTTTATTTAATAGAAATAGATATTTGCAATAAGGGGCCGATTTTCTGAAAATGTGTCTTTTAATTTTCAAAATCGGATAATAAATGGTAAAGCAGCAAGACTTTTTGTACTGTAAGTATCAATTGCGCACCCCGAAAAGTTAACGGTAAATTACTCCGGGTTTTCGTCGTTTTCAATTTCTTAATCATCGTTATGGACAGAGAGTATATATTTTTTTCAATAAAAATAGATCTTTGCAATATAGAATCAATTTTCTTAAAATGTGTCTTTTAATTTTCAAAATCGGATAATAAATGGAACGACAACAAGACTTTTTGTAGAGAAGGTATCAGTTTAGCGCAGGTATTTTACGCTTAACTCCGATAAACTAAAAATTATTGATCGGTTTCCCGATATCGAGTGTACAGGTACACGCGCGACAAGATATTTTAACGTTTTATATAGGTTTACTAGGAGTGTCCGATCCCTGTAATTTAAATCCGTGGTTTCAGCCATAGTTAATTAATTGGTGTATTTCACCATTTGAGAGTTTTACCTTGAAAATATTCCTTCATTGAAAGACAACACATTTCATTTGTTTTTTTTTTTACAGTTTTACGTTTATTGGAAAATGCGAATTAAAGTGGATTTTACCAATGTAAAAAATAGCTTCAAATCAGCTGTTAACGTCTAAATATTTAGAGTCAAAATTAGAAGAGTTCCGTTAAAAATCACTGAATGCTAATGTTTTTTAATAGCTGAATTATGAAAAGTGCATTGACTTTTGAATAAGTTAGAAATGCTGGAAATTATTTAGTCTAAAGCAAGTGTGCACTCCGACTGCTGTGTTTTTTTTAAATTCACATTCGGACTACTGTCCTAGATCCGAAATACCGCTACATTTACAAGTCAACAACTTTGTTAATAATCATATTTATTTAACATTCAGACAAGTAAGAAGATTTAAAGGAAATTTATTAACAAAATTAATGCCTCCTACCTTTTAATAAATCATAAATCTGCAAAAACACCGTTATATTTTTTCCATATTTTTTGCTGTTTCTGCATACTTTAAAACCCATACCTATATTACGTACCATAACCGGTTTTCCGAGCGTTATTTTTGGAATTATCATTCGCCGGTCCGGTCTCTTCCGTAAACTAACCAAATAAATTCATTTACATTGTTGTTCCTGTAAGACTTTGATACTGTATTCAGTTTTTTACTGGTACATTAATTATTAAGAAGTGATAAACTGAAAGGATTGTTTCTTCATTCGAAGCATTTGCATTACAGTACATTTTACAAATATACCATACTGTACTCAAGATTTTTAAAATATATTTTAGGATTTCTACTTTTGTATCATGCGTTTCAATTATTCAGTAAGTAAATAATAATAGTTTGAGTGAATATATCTACATACAGCTTTCCGTTTATGTTTCAAATTTTTCGTGTCTGTTAAGTAGATATAAAAGCTGTAAAAAATTCCGGAAACAAAGTGATCCGTCGGAAGCATAAATCACAACAAAATAACATAAGAATTGTATAGAATGTATATTTACTCAAGATTACTCTTTACATACTGAAAAATATATTATAAGTATAATAAGCCAAGACCCTGAATAAGCGTATTTAATTGAATAATCATTAATTAAAATTACACATTTATTTTTTAAAAAGTTGCCTTTGAAAATACAATTTTCCATTTTTTAATTAAATTATAAGAAGGCAATACTAATTAAAACCCCTAGAGCTTTATTTCAGAATTAAAAGTGTTCCCTGAGTAAATGTATTGTATGGCTTGAATAAGAGTCTTTCAAATGATAACGCCTTATCCAGATTTTTTTCAACGCAGTGAAAACAATTTTTTTAACCCATTACTTCATATACACGCCTTTTAACGCCTTTTTCACCCCCCCTCTTTTTGTTGTCTCAAATGGTGAAAAAATGCATTATTTAGGCCCTTAACACTTGTTTTTGTTTGAGAAATGTTGTTAAAAAAAGTGACCACTTTTTCGGCGCGGCCCCCAACCAAAAGATACATCAGGGGGTTGCCAGAAGGGGGATGTGCCCCCTTCTGTTTGGGGGGTTTGAAGGGGGACGGAATCCCCCTCATCGCCAAGAAAATTTTGGACTTGTGAGAGGCTATAAATGACCCCAGATTGATTATAAGGTAACGTGTAACCAACGCTGAAAAGCATTTGACTCTATCTCAATCCATTGAGAAGTTGCAGCACTTTGAAATCAATTATAATGGAAAAAATCAACGCAAAATAGTGATTTTTGGCAATTTTGAGATGTCCCCTCGTTGCCATGGTAACAGAAAATTTAAGCCTGAGCATGTTGTTGCAAGGGCAATGGTCCAGTCAACATTTGTGCCAAGTTTGATTAGTGTTGAAGCAGTATTTATAGTATTATAGCAATTTGAACTTATAACGGGATACTTTTCAATGAAAACAGCCATTTTTCACAAAATGCTCATGAAGTAATGGGTAATTATGAGAACGAATTTTTTCCTGCTTTAAAGTATATACATGTATGTGATGCTTGCTAATTGCTCATTTTGAATATCTGGAAAAAAGGGATCTCTCTGAAACATTAAAAACAGCAAAATACATGAAAAGTGCAGACTCGGTTTAACTGAGTCTGTACATGAGGGATAATGAAAAAGTGTAACATCCCTCACGCCCCCTGTTACTGTCTTGAGCAGTACTGAATTTTCAATTAAAGTCCGTGATGATACCGAAGGACCAGAAAAATGTAATTTAGCACTAATGTGAATTATTGGGCAACTTTTTACTGCTGCCACACAGCACTAGAGGCATGTTGTTGTGATGTATAAATATCTGGAAAAAATACTCGAAAGCAATAAGGATTCTCAAATAAACTGATACATTTGTGTATATTGATAACTACCTTTTTTACATATAACCACAACTTTAATTGTTATTATAGAATAGAATAAAGAATGTAATATAATATAATTACTGAACAAGAGAATTACATGAAAATTGCAGATTCGGTTTAATTGAGTCTGTAAATGAGAGATAATGCAAAGTGCAACATCCCTCACGCCCCTAGCACTGGCATGAAACGTAGTCAATTTTTAACACATAAAAAAGCTAGAATCAATGATAACGAAGGACCAGAAAAATATAACAACACTGAAGTGAAGAACTGGGCAACTTTTTACGGCTGCAACACAGCATTTGACACCTGCTGTTGTGATGTATAAGTATCTGAAAAAAGTGATCAATCAGAAGCATTAAAACAACAAAATTACATGAAAATTGCTGACTCAGTTTTATTGAGTCTGTAAAAGAGGGATAATGAAAAATTGCAACATCCCTCACGCCCCATATAGCACCGGCTAAAGCGATTGAATATGAAGTTGAAGTTTGCAATAACAAAATATTACTTTTTTTTGAAAAAAAAAAGCAACAACAAAATAAAACACCGAAATCATGTCAATGACATATTTTTGTAACAAAAACATGCAAAATATAAAGTATATTTGCAATTTCCTATTATCTACACGGCCCCAAGAAATGATTTATAAATTAAACTTGATGATTATGGTGATTATGATGATGACAATGATGATGATGGTGGTTGTCTTAGAACCCCCGTATGAGAAGAACAATCAATATACATGTAAATGATTTTATAAAGAAATAGGTATGATGATTAGTGATCATTTGAATTTAAAAATCTGGAAGAAATTGATTCCTGGGAAGCATTAATAATAAAAAATGCAGACTGTGATGATTTTTTTGTAATTTTGTAGAAACTGCTTCAAAACGTTCGTTTTACTTCGTTTTACTTACAATAAGATAGTTAGAATTTTATTGCCCACGGGCAACCGACTTGGGAAAGATTTTTGAAAAAATTGCTTAAAATATCATCATAACAAAAACAACAAAAAATAAACAACAGTAGATAAAACATTTAAGATGTAAAAATAAATAATTGATGCTGATTTTCATGTCATTTTTTACTTCAAGTTAAGTGTCGACTTTATCTACTGTTGTAAGGTAAAGTCTTACAATACTTAAAAAGTGCAGGAAAACATACGTACATTACAACCAAAAAACAAATTGGAATATAATGTCCATAACTGTCATGGTTCAGAACTCTACATAATTTGTACAAAACAAATCTTAATTAAAATATTATATATAAACACTAAATAATCTCGAAATATCAACGCACATTTACAAATAATTATTAATGCAATCAAGCCTTCTATTCACCAGAGTACATTTGTATTTTATTTGCCGTTTCAAGAGTTAGGGAGATACCGGACTGGCAAATCATATACATATTCCCAACATGTAAGGGAGGTAACAAAACAACACACGTTGGATTTTCCCGGAAAAACGGTAAACCTCAAATAAATTAAAACTAAACAACTTTAGACTCTGGATCGCAGAAAATTTGGATTTTCAGGTGTTTTTTGCCTTTTTTAACTTGCCTAGTTATATTGCAATGGTTGAAACTACATTTTCTTATATAAATCTATATAACCATGCTAACCAAATACGTTCTCAATTTAAAACGTACCCATTTAAAACGTACCGTTGTATAGGCCTATTTATGTCATCTGTAACATTCATTTTTTTTTTCAAATTATGGCAGCAAAATGAAAACAAACCTCAGTATTTATCTCCGTCAATATTTTATACAGTAAATTAAAATGGGCCTACAAAATACATTGGTACACCAACAGGTGAAACATAAATATTTGTCATTCTCATCAACCGTTGTTATTTGACAATGACAATTTATACTGCTGATTTATGACGTTAGGATCTTATCTTGTTTAAAGCCTGACCAAAAGCTTTTAATGGATTTAAATGTTTGACAGAGGGAGATAAAAATGTGTAGGTTGACCACAGACCAAAGTCATGTACATGCAAGTAAGCTAAGGAAAAGTATCCAAGAAGGCAGCTACATACTTCATCGCTAACACATTCTCTCCCCTATTATTGACTCAGAGCTATTCAATCATGGATGTTTAGGGTGAGAAATATGTAGCCTGTCTGGGACTTAAAATAAATGTGGGACATTGGAAATACTGTTTCACAGCTTTACCAACAGAGATACTTGCTTATACACTTTCTCCCTTTGTTGATGAATAGTTAGTACATTAATTAATAAACTATCCAGCTAGCTTACGGAACGTCGGTGGTTCTACTCAGGTGCCCGTTCGTGCCTGAAATAATGCATCATAACCCCAACCTGTAGACAGGAGGAGGTAACTCTATCAAGCATTTTGACAAAATTATGCCCCTTTTTAGCTCGACTATTCAATAAGAATAAGTAGAGCTATTGCAGTCACCCGAGCGTCGGCGTCGGCGTCGGCGTAACCACTTATGTTAAAGTTTTTGTAATAGTTAAAATATTTTTAAAGTCCATTGACATATGGCTTTGAAACTTGGCACACTTGTTCACCATCATGACCCCTACCTGTAGACAGGAGGAGGTAACTGTATCAAGCATTTTGACAGAATTATGCCCCTTTTTCGACTTAGAATTTACGTTAAAGTTTTTGTAATAGTTCAAATATTTTCAAAGTCCATTGACATATGGCTTTGAAACTTTGCACACTTGTTCACCATCATGACCCCAACCTGTAAACAGGAGGAGGTAACTGTATCAAGCATTTTGACAGAATTATGCCCCTTTTTCAACTTAGAATTTACGTTAAAGTTTTTGTAATAGTTCAAATATTTTCAAAGTCCATTGACATATGGCTTTGAAACTTTGCACACTTGATCACCATCATGATCCCAACCTGTAGACAGGAGAGGGTAACTGTATCAAGAATTTTGACAGAATTATGCCCCTTTTTCGACTTAGAATTTACGTTATAGTTTTTGTAATAGTTCAAATATTTTCAAAGTCCATTGACATATGGCTTTGAAACTTTGCACACTTGTTCACCATCATGACCCCGACCTGTAAACAGGAGGAGGTAACTGTATCAAGCATTTTGACAGAATTATGCCCCTTTTTCGACTTAGAATTTACGTTAAAGTTTTTGTAATAGTTCAAATATTTTCAAAGTCCATTGACATATGGCTTTGAAACTTTGCACACTTGTTCACCATCATTACCCCAACCTGTAAACAGGAGGAGGTAATTGTATCAAGCATTTTTTTTTACTATCAAGCACTAAGAATAGTCGAGCGTTGCTGTCCTACCGACAGCTCTTGTTCGACTTAGAATTTACGTTACAGTTTTTGTAATACCTCAAATATTTTCAAAGTTCATTGACATAAGGCTTTGAAACATGTTGAAATTTTATACTCTTCTTTAAGAGCATAATAGGACTCTCTCCAAGGCCTATAACTGTAATATGAATTTAAAGAAAAATATTTGCCTTTTTCTTTACTGAGAAAATTTTACCTTTTAATCAAGGCTTTTTTTACTATCAAGCACTAAGAATAGTCGAGCATTGCTGTCCTACCGACAGCTCTTGTTAAATTTAATGTAATTGTTAATTTTAAAACTGCTTTTTAACTTCCCAAATTAGCAATTTTAGCGATAATTTTCCCCAAAACCAATTGGCTAAGACCTCTTCCCAATGAGAAAAATCACTGTTACTGTGTGTCTATGTGTAATTTTTATTGATGCATATCACATTAACTATGCAATATGGTATCAAGGCATCAATAATTAAAAGAAAAAAAGAAGTGAAAAATTGTACAGCAATAAATTGATTTATAAAGTAGGCCACTGCCTTGCTATGCGTTGTGTAATTTTTATGTTTCATGACTTCGGACATATTATTTATCACAGAAATTATCACAGAATCCACAAATTTAGATCCTTGCATCATGGCAGTAAGTTAATCTTCCTTATATATTTTGATAATAAGGCAATGTTTAAAGTATATTCTTCTTTAGAGATTAAATTTATGACCAGCTTTTTGTAAATTCAGACATGAAAAAATATCAGTCTGCTTTATTGTCTTCTCTCTTTTGTCCCTTCTTGATACTGAAGTAGAATAAAATGTTTTGCAATTGATACGTTTTTTATTATTTCAGAAATGATTATTAGTTAGGAAGCTGTGCAGACAGACACACAGACACACAAACATCATTGACAATGGAGTACTGTACAGAAATAGCCATTCTTCAGTCAGCTTTCCAGCTTGTTTCCAAAAAGGTTAGAAAATTATATTTATACATGGATGTAGCTTTGCAGAACACTACTATGATTAAGTGTCACAATTTGAGGCCTCTGTAGTGGAGTGGTTAAGGTCAGTCACTTCAAATCACTTGTCCTGTCTAATGTTATTGCTGTGGGTTTGAACCCTGTCTAGAATTTTTGCATGTGAGGAAGTTATCATGGATCCTTTAAAGGTGGGTGAGAATTTACTCCTGTTTACTTAATTGGTAAATAATGAAAGACAACAAACAACATTCCACTAAAAGGCAGGTTGAAGGTGTAAGCTATAAACTGTTTTATAACTTTTTCTTTTTTTTGTTGTAGAATAATACACGGTACGGTTCAAATACTCTGGAATATTAATTACAAAGCATTTAAAGGATAACTGTGCATTACTATACTATAATGCAAGAGAAATATAGTTTTCCATTCTTACATAATAATAAAATAGAGAATTAAAAGAATGTTGAACTACATTGAGTGTAGAAGAAATTTTCCTGACATCATTTGTACTTATGTATATGGAAACCTATAACATAACTGTTTCTAGAATATACTGATATACCGAGAATTTATGTCTTTACATCTAAACAAATTATGATAATTTCAATACAGTCGACTCTCACTATCTCGAAGTCATCGGGACCGTCCAAAAAATATCGAGATAACGAAATGTCGAGATAAACATATTAGGGTTTGAATAAGGCAGAAACTGATTTTTACAAAAGACATGTGCATACCTTATGTCAAATAAACTATGATATCCCCATGTCTTGTTTTCATAGGCCTAGTCAATATTTAACAAAGTAACATTAGCGGATGTTTACCAGCGGAAATACGGGTGTCTGTGATAAAAACACATAGTGAGGTTTACTCAGTAATACACCAATATAGTGAAAACATTGTTTTCAGGGTGGTTGATCCGGATATCCTCCCGGGTTATTTATCGGGTCTTTCTCGATGATTGTTCGACCGCTGATTGATTTGGTGGTGATGTTGTGAAACAATATTGCAACGATAGCGTTTCTATACTTTCACTATTTCATTTACATTTAAAGTCATAATGAATTGATACAGTGTTCGAATATTTATAAAGAACGTAAAATTCACTCATTTTGGACATAAGTCAATCAACACGCTAAATAGATTAACTTTTATAAAAACAGCTAAACATGTTACAAACATAATCATCATTATGACATGCGCTATTGAGCAATTATCGTCTAGTTTGTGTTTTTCACACGTCTGAAGAGAATAATAGAAAACTATTAGTCGAGATAAACAAAGGATAATAGTGTGAAAATAACTGTTGGGGCTGAAATTGTACATCGAGATACTGAAAATATCGAAATAAAAATATCGAGATAAACAAATATTTCCAATATAGATAAAGAAGGAAGAAAATCGGGACTTTCAAAATTTCATCGAGATAACGAAATATCGAGAAAAGCTATGTCGAGATAACGATAGTTGACTGTATATGATTTGTTCCTTGTATATTTAGGCAGGTAAAACTCTGTCACTTCTTCCAAAAGAAAATTGCAAAGATTTAGTGACCATCATATGGACGTCTGTTGAAGAGATATGTAAAGGCATACAGTATGACCTTGATGTTAAAGAGCGGTTACTATGGCAACAGAAGCTACATTCAGTACTTCTTTATGTGTTAGTGAAGAACAAGTACCGAGAAAAAGAGGTATTGTTTATTCTTGCATAAATTAGTCATGAATAAAAGTTTATAAATTATTTTTCTTTCAATTATTCCATCATTTAAAAAAAAATTATATTCTTAAAAATTTATTTGCTATATCATATTCTAAGAGTTGCTTCTTTTTTTTTCCTTGCTGAAAAATTGGAGAAAATTTGTCTTAGATTTGGTCTAGTTCTTGTTTAACCAATGTATAATTAATGTTAGTGAATGCTATTGGTAGTTACTAGAATGAGCTGTTTGTTTAGTTACATTGTATTAGCTCAACTATTTGAAGAATAAGGAGAGCCATAATAATTGTACTTACCCAGGTGTTGGCGTCGGTGTCACATTAAGGTTAAGTTTTTGTGTGTAAGTTGGTATCTCCCAAAACTACGGCTGGAACTTCACACACTATTTTGAGCATAATAGGTCCAGGACCCATAATTCTAGCATGGAATTTGACAGAATTATGGCCCTTTTCGAGTCTTAGAAAATTTTACATTACCCATGTAAATATGGTGGCGATGAGAATGGTAGAAAATAAATGACTTCTGCCATTACTGTGCGTTATTCTTCATTAAGATGATAAAAGCCACTAGATTATCACCTTTAACTATAAATGTAATTTATCTGTTGCCAAGGAACCAGTGAGAGAAGGAAGAGTACCAGTTTTGGGTGCAATTGACATGTTCACAGGGATATTACCTACATACAGCTGTAGTTTTTACTTTGAACTGATGAAATGTTGTGACTGGACTGAGAATTTCCTACAGGTAATATTACCTTTACCCTGCTGAAGTTTTGTTATGAATTGTGTCTTGTTTTAAATATGGAATAGTTCATTAGTTGTTATAGCGATTAAAGAACTGACATACTAAAATTGAACTGCCGACAGTAAAAAGATTGGTCAGATTGCCCTGATTATACTTGAGTAGTGGCAGGCCTCAGCGGCCATGTTGTTAAAGGTGCTGACTTCAAATTACTTGCCCCTCACCTATGTGGGTTCCAATATCATCAGGGACTTAAGATTCATTCATGTCAGGAAGGTTTACAGCTGGCTTGCTGTTAGTGCCTGGAATATTGCTCAGAGGGACACCTGAGGTCTTTGTCTACCAGTAAAGCAGGAAAGTGGCCATATGGCCTTTACAATGTTAGTGCGACTTTAAAATTCAAATAAACAAACAAACAATACTGGATAAATGTCATTATTATATCACTGCTAGTATTAAAAAAATGTGTTATATTAGATACTAATGAACTACCGAAGGTATTAAAGTGTGCCTTTACAGAGATGTTATGATGCCTATGTCATTGTTGTTTCCAAAAATTTAATGACAATAAGATAAAAGCAAGAATGTTTTTTTCTAAATATACTTTTGTCTGATATAATGTTATAAATTTTTCAGAGTTTGCAGTGTTTGGATTACAAAACTTCATCTTCTCTCCTCAATGATTTATTGCAACATTGTCATAGCAGCCCAGTGACCTTTGAAGATGGCAAGGTCATTGCCATGGTGAAAGACACACTGTTGTCAAGGTGTTTGTGTGTACCAGACTACCCAAGTCAGCTTTGTGCAAAGCTTTTTGAACCTTTGACACAGGCCAGAAAATATGTGCAGACTGTTTATCCAGAAGATGAAGCAGAAACGTTTGTTACTATGGGAAAGCAAAATGCTGCACCTATAGATAATGTAAATAACAATAGTTGTGCAGGGATAAGTTTCTGGAATACATTTGTAGAGGAAAACCCACAAATTTTAGATATGGTAATGGCATACTATGAGAATAGTCTTGATGGACATTTGAAAAAATTGTCAAGTCAGGAATTATTAGAAGTTCTGTCCCAGCTTGCTGTCTATCTCTATTTCACGACAGTAGAGCCAGGATCAGACTTTACAGATAAATGGTTTATTAATAATCTATTTGTGCAAGATTATTGTAAAAATATGAAAGGGGATTCACTGGATATTGTATACAGCCTTAATTTTACTTTGATTCCTCATGTTCATAATAATTTATCCAGAAGTCAGCTTAATGTATGTTTGTGGAAAGCTCTAAATGTGTTATCAAGATCTTGTAAAGTTGAACACTTAACCAGTAAGGAACCTCATATTGTACACATAGTAAGTGGGCTTTCTGTAAATTTGGTAGTGCTACTTAGAATGCTTGCAGGATTACTTGGTAATGGTGAAGCTGTGGTTGAGAAATTTGGGGTTTCTGGCAGTTTGTTGACAGGAAATATAGACCTATTGTCATGGATACAGGGGTGTGCTACAAGTTTTGCAGGTACATGTACAACAGATCAAGGACTTGTTTTAGGAGAAGCTTGGACAGATGATGTTACCATGGAGAGTCTGTTATGGAGAATAGATCACAATTTGCCTCAGTGTCAAGGTTAGTTTACAATTACATGTTATTGTTATGTCTTGAAGACAAGCATTTTAGTTAAAAATGATATAACACTACAGAACTTAAAATATGCAAACGAGCCAACACTTAATTTCCAGTAACACTTACTTTACAGTTTGTCTTTTTCTCTGAATTAACTGCGACTGAGGAATAGAGTTTATGAACTGGACTTTTAGGAAATAAACAACTGTTAATGACATATGTTTTTTTTTTAAATTTTGTCAAAACATTCACAGCAGTGTTAACATTCATATTGTCTACAAAGATATAAAACTAGATATTTACATGTGTTATTTCCTGTGTTCTTAAGACAGATAGGTGATGGTGTTAAAGTTGCTTTAAAATCCTTTTTGGCCTTCAGCCACCTGTTAATGGTGATCATATATATATAAATATTTTTGGTTTACTCCAATGTCTTCTTTGAAAACATTGTAAATTGTTTTATTTATTTATCAAAATGAGGTAAGTTATAATCTTAATTATAATAATTTCAGTTTGTGTTGATAGACTTCTAGATCTTACAAATATCAAGTTTTGGACAACAGACAGGTAATGTAGGCAAATACTGTATCTCTGATCAAATGCTATTTTTAACCTGCTGTTTTTCTTAAATGGATGTGTTCAACTCCGAGTTTTGGAACAGTCCATTATTCATTTTGGAGATATCAAGATGAAAACTCAAAGTTAATCAGCCAGGCCTCGTGGTCACTAAGATTTAATGATCAGTATCAAATTAAAATACTCACTTATTCACCATTGTTTATCCTCATAGAAGTTGATGAAATTTTTGAATAACTTTATTGTTTTTAACAAGGTATGGGCATTTTACAGTTAATCCAAATATTGATCCTGGTCCTAAAATTGATCCTTATTTTGATCTGATATTTTTGTCTTTATTTTGTTTTCATCAATGTCATACCAAAAAAGGATTGATTCTGTGTAAATTGACTTTTTTACAAATTTGTTTACGTACCATTTAATTCTAGTACAGTTAGATCATTTTTAGTTTTATAAAACAATGAAAATAACAACAGGATCATTTGATCCTGATCCTTCACTTTTGTTAGTGAACAGAGGGCCAGGTGTTTAAGATCCTGGTCAGACTGCATGCATGTGAAGCTGGTGGCAAAGGGTAATAGCTTTCAGTTCCAGAAGGGTACATGTAAGGGTAAATGAAATGATCAATGGAAAGTTAAAAACTACATCATAGTTGTGTTGATGGATAATGACTGTTAGAGTATCTCTGATAGATTCAAACTTTCATCATGTCGAAGACAAGACTTGAAAAACCTTTATGGGTACTGAAGACTTACTTAAAGGGATTTTCTTTTAAAAATAAGTGTGTGTGGGTGGGGGGGATAAATACTTTCTTGGGAGGGAAATGGTGTCTTAACACGGCAATTGAGGGCCCTGAAAGCTGTCTTGAAAATTTCTTAATAAATTGTATTGTAATATTTGAAAATATCTGAAAACATGAAAAGTTACAATTTGAAAGTTGCTTTCATGTGTAGTTATAAGTTAAAATTTGATATTGTGTGTAGTTGCAAGTTGAAAAATTGCTATATTATGTGACATTACAAGTTTACCACCTTGTTAATGCTAACACTTCACAATGCCATAGTCATATTTGATAACAATTATTGTAATTTGATTTTCTAGGCTTTACACAAGCATGATGAAGCATCCTGTATTACTAGGACGTGTTGACAGAGTGTTAAAACTCTCACAGATCCTTGATATATTAAAGGGAGGTAATAATCTGCCGATAGCTTCAACACTTCTAGATCTCATCATTTCCTCATTCCCAGAGTTGTCTTTTCCTGATCAGGATACAGTTGTGATGGAGATTTACTGCAGGGGCGATAACTCTGTCAAGGAGTTTTTCCAAGATAGCTTGACAAGCAAAGTAACCAATGTGTTTAACAAAGTCACAGCAGACATGGATAGTCAGGTATGATTTTCTTGATAACCCTTGACTCTGGCCTTTACCCTGCAAAATGTGTGCAATAGACTCACCCAAACTTGAATTTGGTACTGTCTTTTATTAAGATTAAGGTATTAAAAATAAAATAAAAATCACAAGCAGCTAACAGTCTGGTTAAATGTTGCATGCAATATTAATGTTCTTAACAACTTAAGGTATTCACTTCAAATTAATACACATGTGTGTGATCATTATTAGAGGTCACTGTTCAAGACCCATAACTCTGACATGGATATTGACTGAATTATGGCCCTTTTTAAAGCAAGAAAATTCTTGGTTCAAGTTTTCCTGCAACATCAATTTTCGTTACTATTGAGGGTATTCAAGTAAAGATTGATACATGTTTTTGGGTTGATAGTTTCTTTTTTTCTTTCTTTTTTTTGGTGGGGTGGGGGGATGGGGTCAATATACAAGTCCTATAACTCTGACATGGTTTTTGACTTAATTTTGGCCCTTTGTGAATTAAGAACATTTATGGTTTAAGTTAATCTTTCAGAAAACTACTGATTGTATTCACTTGAAACTTGATTCATACTTTTCGAATCACAATTATTCTAAGACCAATAACACTGGTGAAATAAGGCCATTTATTAACTTAACAAAATTCTTTGGATAGTATTCAAACCTTATTACTATGTCATGGTGAAATAAGGCCATTTATTAATTTAACAAAATTCTTTGGATAGTATTCAAATCTTATTACTATGTCATGAACATTATTTGTTTGTTGTTTTTTTTGTGCCCCCACGTTAGTGGCGGGCATTTAGATTTACCCTTGTCCGTCCGTCTGTCCGTCCGTCCGTTCACTTTTGTGTCACAGGTAACTCAAAAAGTATTTGACCTAGAGTCATGAAACTTTACAGGAATGTTGATCAGCATGTGTAGTTGTGCACCTTGGTATTTTCTTCTGGATATTTTTAGTATTTTCAGAGTTATTGCCCTTGACTTAGTAAAATTTTGCAATTTTCAACTTGTGTCGCATGTAACTCAAAAAGTATTTGACCTAGAGTCATGAAACTTTACAGAAATGTTGATCAGCATGTGTTATTGTGCACCTGGGTATTTTTGTCTGGATATTTTTAGTATTTTCAGAGTTATTGCCCTTGACTTAGTAAAATTTTGCAATTTTCAACTTGTGTCGCATGTAACTCAAAAAGTATTTGACCTAGAGTCATGAAACTTTACAGGAATGTTGATCAGCATGTGTAGTTGTGCACCTGGGTATTTTCGTCTGGATATTTTTAGTATTTTCAGAGTTATTGCCCTTGACTTAGTAAAATTTTGCAATTTTCAACTTGTGTCGCAAGTTACTCAAAAAGGATTTGACATAGTCATTAAACCTTATGGGCAGGTTGCTCAGCATATTTAGATTTGCACCTGGGGTTTCGCTTGTGGATTTATCCGGTATTTGTAGAGTTATTTCCCTTGACTTAGTAAAAAGATTGACAGAACAGTGGCGCGGTGGGGGCACCCGTGTCCTATGGACACATTTCTTGTTTGTGGATGAAATCTTCCTCAGTTATTGTGACATTATCCAGGCTCTTGTTTTACTAAGAAGCACTGAAAATAGTTAAACATGCTGTCCTACTGACAGCTCCTGTTTGAAGAATAATGTAATGGACACAGAACTTTTTTTTGTATAAGATGAAATAACAAATGTTCATGGAATAACTCAGTTCTGGAAAACCGAATTTTTTACATGCAAGACCTTAAGTGTGTTTTTGGGTTTTTAAAAAGACTTCTTTGTAATTTAAGTTGAAGATGTTGGGAGTTAGGATTAAACTTGCAATCTTTGAATTAGTCTCAAAAGGATGTTTCTGATGATGTTGTATATGGTAATTATATTTATGCTTTAGGTACTGAGAGAAATTATACTGCTGTGTTTGGGAGATCCTCTCCTTGTTTTGAGTACAGCCGTGAGTCTTTGTGTAAGGAATGAACAACAGGCGAGGAATTGTGCTCTGGTAAGTATAAATTAACAAGTTTCCTACCTATTATTTATGTATTCCTTTAAGTTCTTACATTAATCAAATGGTAATGATGCTTCAAGTAATTGTTAATGACCATCATTCCCAATTCCAGCAAAGAGGACACAACTGTGTCTTGGATTTTGACAAAATTATCTCCCTTTTCCATCTTAAAATTTTGGTTGAGATTGTCATACCACCCCTTGTATTTCCTATACACTTTGAGGTATTGCTTTGAGACTTTAAATATGTGTAAGTGACCATTTTAACCCAAGCCAAGCTGAGTGTGCTGTATTACGGACAACTGTTGTATACTGTAAACTTATTTGGGTCTATGGTGTATAAAATATTATAATGGTGTAACTTCATTACTTGTTGAGTTAAATAGAATTAGAATTACATGAATTACAGAGGCTAGCATAATAGAATTAAATTGTTTCATTCAGTTTAGAACCATAACACATTAAATATTCTTCATGTCTTGTTTACACAATTATGTTAATATAATAGATCAACTGTTAATAATTTCTGCTGAATTTTATTTGTGCATGTAGTGTATATGTAACTTGTTGTCCATCTGGTTTTTGTGTCGCCTCTACGGAGTAGTGGCGACATATAGGGATCACTTCTCCGTCGTCTGTCTGTCCGTCTGTCTGTCTGTCTGTCCGTCCGTCCGTCACAAAACTTGTCTGGACTACTCCTCATAAACTACTGGTGCAATTTCATCCAAACTTTACAGGAATGATCAGTACCAAGTCTAGTTGTGCATATTGTCAGGATTTTCCGGTTCAATGATTTTTGTCAGAGTTTTGGCCCTTTAATAATTTTTAATTTTAAAGTTTGTCCGGACTACTTCTCTTATACCACTAATGCAATTTCAATGAAACTTTACAGGATTGATCTGTAGCTCAAGTCCTTGCGCATATTGCACGGGTTTTCCGGTTGAATGATTTTTGGCCGAGTTATGGCCCTTTGATAAAAAGGTTTCTTTTTCTGTGTGTTGCCAGATACACAAAAGCTTGTCCGGACTACTCCTCATAAACTACTGGTGCAATTTCATCCAAACTTTACAGAAATGATCAGTACCAAGTCTTAGTTGTGCATATTGTCAGCATTTACCGGTTCAATGATTTTTGTTTGAGTTATGGCCCTTTAATAATTTTTATTTTTAAAGTTTGTCCAGACTACTTCTCTTAAACCACTAATGCAATTTCAATGAAACTTTACAGGATTGATCTGTAGCTCAAGTCCTTGCGCATATTGCACGGGTTTTCTGGTTGAATGATTTTTGGCCGAGTTATGGCCCTTTGATAAAAGAAGTTTTTTTCTGTGTGTTGCCAGATACGCAAAAGCTTGTCCGGACTACTCCTCATAAACTACTGGTGCAATTTTATCCAAACTTTACAGGAATGATCAGTACCAAGTCTAGTTGTGCATATTGTCAGCATTTACCGGTTCAATGATTTTTGTTTGAGTTATGGCCCTTTAATAATTTTTATTTTTAAAGTTTGTCCAGACTACTTCTCTTAAACCACTAATGCAATTTCAATGAAACTTTACAGGATTGATCTGTAGCTCAAGTCCTTGCGCATATTGCACGGGTTTTCTGGTTGAATGATTTTTGGCCGAGTTATGGCCCTTTGATAAAAAGAAGTTTTTTTCTGTGTGTTGCCAGATACGCAAAAGCTTGTCCGGACTACTCCTCATAAACTACTGGTGCAATTTTATCCAAACTTTACAGGAATGATCAGTACAAAGTCTAGTTGTGCACTGTCCGTCTGTCTGTCACAAAATTTGTCCCAACATGAAATTGGCCATCATGAGGCGACACATGTGATTACTGATCGCTCTTCTTTGTAGTTTATGTGGAGAAGTTATTGTTGTAGCACTGTGTGTGTTTTTCTATCAGATTATGCATCATGTACAGAAGACGTGTAAATGCCGCCATCCTGAAAACCATCACGACACATCACTGTTGGTCATACTTTTAAGTGAGTTCCTCAACACACAGTCATTGACAGAAAAAGAACAAAAATGTTTTGTTATATTTATCTCAGAGCTTATGATGGTAATTATATATTGTTTTTTTGTTTGTTTGATTTTTAGTTTTCGCTAATTCTGAATTAATTTTGGTAATAAATTGACGCACCTTGTTTCTTACTGTGTGATTATTTCTTATGAAGGCAATTATTTTGTTGATAGTTTTTTTTATGAAATTATTCTCAAATTATGATGGTAATTATATGTATTTTTTCCTTGTTAATTTTTAACATACGAACATTATTCTGTAAATTGAAGTTGAGCTTATGATGGTAATTATATATTGTTTCTTTTGTTTGTTTGATTTTAGTTGTCATGTATTCTGAACAAATTTTGGTAATCATTTGACGTACCTTGTTCTTACCATGTGAATATTTCTTATGAAGGCAATTATTTTGTTAAGTTTTTTTTCCTGTGATTATTTTCAAATTATGATGGTAATTACATATTTTTTTCTTTGTTAATTATAAACATACTATCTTATTTCTGTATAATGAAGTAATTATTCAGGTAAATGTATGGGTTTTTTTGTCTGTGATCTTGGACTCACATGTTTATAATATAAGACTATGACTGTAAAAGTAACACAATATTGATATACAAGAATACAGTATAAGTCAATACTTACAATGGGTAACTTTAGTTTCAATTCTAACCTAATTCTAATTAAAGTACATGTGTATATAACTTACCCTGGTCTGGATTTGCAACAGTTCATTATTAATTAAAGGGATTTCAGTATAATGTACTAATAATGAGAAACCAGTAGAATTAAAGTCTTGTCGGGTTTTAGGGTTGCGCAGAATGGCTTGGCTTATCACTGATTGCATTAGCCTATTACTGTTCCAGATGTGCAAACTTGTTTAACTTGGGTCTTTTACTATTGCTAGAACTCAAGTATGGAATATATATCTAAGAATTTTTATGCATTTGAAAAATTATATTGTTTTATTGAAAAATCATCAAACTACAGACACTTTTTATAAAGATAACCCATCAGAGACAAGACCAGATTTGATATAGGATGGTGCCCTTTTAAAGGGATATTCAGGCAAAATAATGACAAAAATATTAAAATGATCTTATGTACTCAAATCACGCTAAAATGACTTTTCATGAAGTTTCAGCATGACTTCTGTTTAAATTCTATATATTTTGGGTTTGAAACGTAAAAATATCTATATATGCTGATTAAAATTTAGACGCCAATAGAATCACCAAATAGTTTTAAAACAAGTCAGGTGACTTGAACAATCCCTTGAAGTTACAATAACATATATTGTGGCTATTGTATGATTGAAACAAGCCTTAGTCATTCATTTGACATGTTTTTTAACGTTTCAAGTTTTCACTTTGACAACTATTGTGAAATGCTAGCGATCAAACCTGACCCACGCGGGTCAAGTTAGGAAACCACCATTTTATTCTTTATATGGAGAAATGTTTTGTTCCTTTGACTGTCTAATATATTCATTTTGAGGGCAATTACAGATTAATGAATGAAAAATTCAAAACTAAGACAATGAAAATTTTGCCTGTGTCTCCCTTTAATATTTCCGTAAATTTTAAGTGATGGAAATGACTTTCTTTCATTGACTTATTTTATTTGTATTGACTGTTGCATTTTCACTAAAATGGTACCTGTGTTCATCAAAGTTTAAGTCAATGATAAAAAAACAATTACATATAGGTCAATGTGCCATGTTTATATGTGGTGCTACTTATTCAAATACAAAGTAAGCACTTGTTTGGATTACTGTGATTTTAAGCTGGGAAGTGGTACCTGCAGAGAGTATGAAATGTTACAAAAATTATTTTTGTGTATTCTACAATTGGCCATACATGATATGATTTACTTGAGTTATTGTTTATAGTTTATGCAGAGACATAGATAACAGAGATTGGCAACTTCCTGGCCAGTTAAAATATCACGCGTGCCTTCTAAACTTAAAACTTGTAGCATGGAAAGTAACCAATATTTTAACATGCAGCAATAGATAAAAGATTTACCTTTCAAATGGTATATAATATTTAAGGATCAAATGAACATCCGTTAAGTTTTAAATGCCTAATTTTTAACTTTTTGATAGACATGAGTGATATTTCAATGGAGTATTTTGGAGCTGCTTGTCTCTGTTATCTATGTCTCTGGTTTATGTTTTGTTTTTCATTTCATTTCAGCCAGGAGGCAGTTTCTCCAACAAAGATTCAAATTTGTCACCATCTGAATTTTTTACAGACCATTGTGTTGCCATGCATCTCAGTTGAGAATTTGTGGTCTCCATATTTTAATGACTTGCAAGTTTGCTGTGGAGTTGCTATTAATAGCACTGGATGCAGGATGTAAAAAGAAATGTGATTGGTCAGAATATGAATTTGAACCAATGGCATTAGTTCTCTCTTTAGCAGAGATTCAACACAAGTGCATGATATTATGGGAAATAGCAGATGTGCTTCCTAATGATTCAGGGGAGACAGAATTGAAGGACATAGTTGCTATGGAAACAAGAGCTGCAAAATTACCTTTGAGAGAGAAAGTGAATCAGTGTATGGAGAGAATCTGTCAAAATGATTTCAAAAAAGAGTTTTAACAGTATCACTCAAAGGTGAGTAATGCAAAGTTTTACAAAGGGTACAGTGTACTGCGAATTCACTTATATTCGTGGGCATGAAATTTTGTGGTTTTATCAAAACGGGCATTTTCATGGGTTCTTAAATACGTGGATTTTCAATTTCTTGTAAAAAAATAAAAAAATAACCTAATGCCAAAGTAATCTTACACTTAATCGCCTTGCATTTTACTAACCGCATGCATATATCTTTAAAGTATCACACAGCGCTTGTCAATAGATTTAATCCTTGCCTCTGGGCATTCATTACACAAAAATCCGCGGAAAAAGCGCCAATGCATGTTTGTAATATATAGAATAGAGACATGGCAAGAAGTATTTGTTGGGATAAAATTTCGTTGGATCTTAAATTTGTGGATTGACCTACCCACTAAAACCACGAAAATTCGCACCCCACGAATAATAATGATTTTACAGTAGTTAAAGACGAAAACTCTCCATGGTCAGGTAACTCACTCAAAAGGACATGGTCAGCTTCAGAATTTTGCCTTTGTAGCCTTCATTGTGAAATATCTGCCCTTTCAACAAGCAAAAATTTTCAAGTTTGAGGGAAGTTAACTTGAAATCAAGATTAGTGACCCTCTATTATTTATGTTGAAACTGTTTCTTTTATCATATTATAGAACATGCTAAGTTTAAATAAAATTTGTTGTTCTGTAACCTTAGCATACTCCTTTAAAGACACATTATGCCTCAGAAATTTTTATTTCTCAAAAACCTTTTTTGGTATCTTGTTACAGTTTCAAAAGAAATTCTTATTTGCCACATAGATAAACTGTCTTGCCATTTCTGCTTTTCTGGTATTTGGTATGATTATAGTTAATTAGTAATTTGTATGGAAGTTTTACATTTTGCTACCTTTATGACACATTACTTCATGTTCAGCGCTACTGGCATGCGAGCAGTTCCCGTACAGAAGCAGTACCCGTATTTTTCATTTAAACGCTTGATTTTTACTTGCATTCTTCAAAAATTCATTTCAAATCAAGCAGATACATAAACGAGACAAAATCTAAGTGTCAGTTCGGCAGTACGTATATAAAGTCTCATTTTAAATCACTTTCACCTGTGCGTCGTCAAAACGTGACCTTGTTTTCTCTGGGGGATTCCGTCCTTGCGCGCATGCGCAAAAATGAGGCTTGTTAAAGGGTTTTCAACTTATACCACCTGTTTACAAATAAGTAGGCAATGTGATGTAAACTTGTTTAATTATCAGAATGTTGACCAATATTACTATATATAATAATTTTATGGCTTTGATGCGTAAAATATCATGCATACAAGCATGCTATTGCATGTGAATGCGTTGGGGTAACGGGTAATTGATACCCGTGTTTAGTCTACGCTCTATTTCCTGAATTACATCTATTTATCTCTTAGATAATGGTCTGTTCAACAATTGTTAATGAAAAATAGGTCCGATATAATAAAATTGTATAATTATAATGGGTTAGATTTTATGTACGGGAATTACTTCTCTTCATACAAAATAATGGATAATTTCGGTACCCCATATTAGGCCTCATAACTAAGGGTTATACTATGTTTAGAACATGATGGAATTTCCATGATTTGTGTGACGAGCCGAATATTGATGTGTAACATTCAAATTTTGGTGAGAGAGAGTAATAAAAAATAATGTTTAAGTAACTATGATTTTTGTACGGGAACTGCTCGCATGCCAGTACTTTTCTCAGTTGTAAAACATCTTACATGTTCCAAAACCATTATTAAAATATTATAAAAAAAACATGTTTGACATTTCCAAACAATTAAAGTAATATGGATTTCTGAGGCATAATGTACCTATTCATAATAATATGCTCCCATAATCTAATTAGATGCTAAAATAAAAACATAACTTTCTGATATTTATTGAAATAATTTTGATCCATTGCGTACATGTTTGACATTTTTCCAGAATTCTAAGGTTTCTCTTTTCCTTGTCCCCGACACAAACAATCTAGTTAGTGTAGATGTTTTCTGTTGTGCATTTCTCATTTGGAAAACAAGCTACATCTAATTGTAACGATTGATTTAATTGCTGATCAAGTTCATGGTCAATTCAAAGAAATCTAAATATCAACAGCGAAGCCTTTACACCATCTCAGTAGGGGTTGGGCATTGCATTGTTCTATTGATTTTATTGGATAATACGTGTCACAAGTATATTATATTTACATATGCTAAAAATGGTTTGGGAAATAGAGCTTTTCACACATTTATTTATTCACTGTTTTGATTGTTGACACTTGTGACATCACAAGGCAGCATTTTATAAACACACAAACACTTGACAGGTAAAAGTGGTCTCTTGATGAAATAATTGATCTCAATTAGCTGACAAATTAGCGTTGGCCTGTCGGGGTGAGCAGAAGCCATTGAATACAGTAAAGATATAGAGAGAAAATGATCGGGGGAATTTAAAATGGTCGCATAAGACAAAAGTACCAGGGTGGCATAAATAAGTAAGACTGTACCTTAATGTGAAGAAACATTTTACAATTTACATATATTACACTGAAATCTAGCAACATCATGTTATAGATATATATAATTATGTATTTAAAATCATGCTTCAGACTGTTACTGGTTGCTAGAAGCTTCCAGAGATCTACATTGGACTGTAAGACTTGCATTATCTTCAGTATATACAGCTTGTCAGCTAGACCAGGTGAGAATATTGACAATAGTTTAGGCAAGTTGAAAAATAATTTGCTTTGGCCTTCTCCAGGGCCATGTGATACTATAAGAATCTTACACTGGCTGCCGGTACAGACCGGAATATCTAGCTCGAGGGTAACTGTTTACGGCGGTAACGAGGCTCTGCTTAGTTTCCGCTTAAACAGTTACCCGAGAGCTAGATATTCCCGTCTGTACCGACAGCCAGTGTTTGATTCTTTTTCTTGCATATTACATACCAATTATTTCCAATTATCTAGCATAATGGAATTATTTTAAGGAATATTTCAACCTTGCTGACAGAAAATTTGTGGTTCTACTCAAATGCCTTTCTGCTTATGTCAGATTTGATGTAAACTGTGATTTCACTCAATTTTAATATGTAGATATCCTGGATTTGTCAAAATTAAAATTTTTTGTAGGTTCTTAAATTTGTGATTGCCTTTTTGCCACAAAAGCTCAAATGCAAATAATTCAATGAAAAATATTCGTACATCATACAAAATAAAAATTACTTAGGACCTGAAATTAGTAAATTGACTTATCCACAAAAAAACACAAAAACAGTGCCCCATGAATGATGATGATTTTGCATTACCTATTTTAGCATTTTGGTACAAAATACTATTATATAATCATTTATGACGTTACAGACATGATGGACTAATTCACTTGAATTTTTCAAAATTCTTAAGCATGACTTGTTTTCTGTATGCTTTTC